TGTTTTTTTTTTCCTTCCCGCCCTGCAGCCTCCTTGGTTCAAAGGCGATTGCGACAGACGAGGTCTGCTTCCTGCGAATTGGCTTCCTGTGAATTGGCTTCCTGCGCATTGGCTTCATATGAATTAACTTCGTGTGAATTGGCTTCCTTGTTTTTGTCGGATCTCGTTGCCAAAGTCAGTTCAGGGAAAGAACGAGGATTTGTTGTCAGCAAAATTTTAGGACATTCCTTACTCGATCTTGTCTTCGTTCTCTTTTCGAACTTTCCACGAACCTTTTTCCACATTCAATGCAACCGACAGTAACTCAATGAATAGTTCCGTTTCACGTTTTCACTCCGGTTGCTGCAATTACGTTCAAGTTATACGTTTAAAAATGGGGAATCGTAACGATGCGAATGGATTGATTTCATATTTAACGAGCAGCAGCAAAGCGCCTTCACGCACCGTTTCCAAGACGTTTAAGATGGACAATGCAAATGATTCCGTTTCGCAACCATCGTTTTTGGTTGAGAAACTCCGCGAATAAGGCTAATTAGCCTGAGCTAATTTCAACAGTGCTGCCTCATTGACGGCGATAATCTTTCGCGTTCGCATAAGGAAGGCAGTTTTCCCAGTTAGCTGGGGAAAAGACTGGATTGATAACAATCTTCAAGGCCTTTTTCACCGGTTGGGTTCGACTAAGCGAAAGTCTGATGGAGCCAGTAAGAGAACTGGCTCCATGAATTCTGGAACTTCGGGTCGTCGTTTAACTTCCTCGCGGGACCACGAATTCCAACATCTGCTCTTCATATGGGAGTCGGAAGTTCCCCATACGCGTCCTAATAGGTCAGCAGATCTCTAGAATTTCACGAGTTACACATGGTTGTTTAAGACGACTGTTACTCTCTTGCCCTTTAGCGCTATCTAATGACAAAGTTTAGAAATACTAGTGCCATGCAGGCCGGGCAGGTGACAGGTCTGTCGGGGGAGGCACTCCGCTACGCTTGCGCCGAGTGGGTGGAGCTTCCTTTCTTTTTTTCCCCTCAGCAGCCGACCGTCAGTATTGTATATCATTCTTAACTAGCTCTCTCTGTCAATCCTCGGTAGTATAGTGGTGAGTATCCCCGCCTGTCACGCGGGAGACCGGGGTTCGATTCCCCGCCGGGGAGGAATTTTTTCTTTACTTTTCCATCCCGATTCATCGATTCATTCCGCTTTATCTGCCTTATATTCATTCTCTTGCTTCTTCTCTTCTTACTCAGCCTGTTATTTAGAGTGCTGACGCTCAAAATACATTGCAAAACATTTATTATTCCAATGCCCTGAACTGCTTTCTTTGTTCAAAATTCAGCGATTTGGTACCGAGAACGAAAATTTATTGCCTTCGTCTCAGATGCAGTTTTTGCCATACAAGGAGTACTGAAGTTGACTTGAAATGGGAGGAGACGCGGGGGACACGGATGAAACCGATGATTGATTGCACCGGAGTTGTTAGACAATCATTACAAGTCTAATTATGAAACTCTATATTCGGTCAAAGTGTGAAGGCGAGCAATTCCTTCTGCTATCGAAACTCGCACGGGTAAAAACTCGTCTCATTACGCTCCCAAACCACGGAAGACTTATCTTAGTGGGCCAGTTGGCCGATCCCAGTCCTAATGAAGGCATTCCGATTAAGGGCCACGCAATGAAAAGTAGCGATCACTGATCGCTTTTCTGTCGAGACGAGAGAGGCACGAAGTCCGTCGACCCAGGGGGCTCATCGGTTCTTTAAATTAGCGACGGTTCTCACATTATCACGCATGGTCCAGCATATGAAGCTCCCAGCCTCTTCCTCTCTCGTCTCTCCATGGATCGTATGATGTATAAGATGTGGTATGTCTGAAAGAATAGACCCCCGCGAGATCCCAGGTAACCTCGGTCAGACAAGGATTCCCGGTTTGAGGGACACTCCTTGGATTTCCGACCTCCATTCAGTTGAAATAAAAAAAACCCTCTGGTAAAAAAAATTCAAGACCCATCCCAGCCCAGTTTACATGCACTAAGATACCGCACGGGCCCTACTGCGCTATCACGCATAGGAATATCAAACTTTGGGCATGGCCAACAACAGGACTTTGAATCGCGGGAAAAAAAAAGAAGTTTTGTCTCCTTTCGGTTCGTTCAGAACACTACCCGACGGGCAGATGCGAGGCTTTCTTATTTCGAGTTAAAATTTTCGCATTTTCATATTTCTTAGCCGCTTTAATCAGTATTTGAAAGTTTGCGTTCGACGATTTGTTTTCATCAACTCTCGTTGTGGAATGAAAGTGAAAGAAAAGACCGTTCAATTCCTATAGTGCAGCCCTTGTTCTGCATTCCACAAAATATTCCTCGCGATTTACGGATGCATGGACGACACATACATTGCGATAAGGAATTGACAACGTTTCCTTTTCGGTGTTTGGAGACTTCAGATATGGAATATTTCGTGAAATGAAGTCTCCAACCGATAGGATTGCTTTCGCCTCCCGACAGTTCAAAGAACTTCCTCCCGCCGGATTGCAAACGGTACTAGTCGAAATAGAAAAAAAAGCAATACTCACCATGAAACCTTGATCGAAGCGAAGAGGCACTTGCTGACTGCATCCACGATCTCTTCTTGCAATGGAAATGAGTCGTTAGAGAGAAGACCCAAGGCCCGAAGCTCCTTCTCCTCGGATGACCAATCGCGTCTCTCCTTTCTTCTCACTGCCCCTTCCCCCATTGGTGTCCCTCGGCTACTTCTACCTCGAAACTGTAGCAACACGGACCCTTTCCCAAATATCTCTTTTGGAATTCATATTTGCTTTCCGAAAGGCAGGCTTTTTTTTTAACATGCATCCCCGTGGAACTGGAAGGGTTTGCCCGCTACTTAATACATTTGAAGGAACGCAAGAGATTGGAGAAACTGACGAAAGTGTTAAAAGGGCATTGACGATAGTTAGAATTTTCGTCGAAAATGTCGGATAGAAAAAAAGTTCATTTGTTTCAAAAATGATATTTTGCTCCTGCGCAGTTATCTAGAATATATGTCTGAGCAAGTTGCTAGCTGAAAAAGAGAAATAGTTGATATTTCCTGATTCCTTGTGCTTGGTCATAAGGGTTCAGTGCCGACAAAAAAGAAAACACTAAAATATCGTTAGTTTATTGCCTGAAATGATAGAAAATTCCAAAGTAATTGCACATTATCCAACACAGAAGAAGCAGAGGTGATGCGTTATCTGCAACGCGGGTTCATTGCCGCACTGCAGAAGCTGATCCATTTCGATGTCGTCTGTCTTCGGCGTGAACGGAGACGAATTTCCTCAATCCTCTCCTGCAATTGTCGACTACTCAGAAAGGGACGGGTCTTTCCGCGATTTCTCAGCGATTTTCTGTGCTACTGTGCTACCGTGAACCGCCACGACCACACTCAGTCAGTCTGCAGGCGTGAAGCGCGAAGATAAAGCTGAGTCATGGAAGACAGCCCCGCACACGAAAACCCCCCATTCGTAATAGAGTTCTCACGAAGGGAGAGAAATTCCAAATCTCCAAGGTGAAATCTAGAGAGGATGTGCCGGTGGCAGTCGTCTAAGCGTTGATGGGGATTCGTCTCTGTCCTCAGTCCACAATGCAGCCCCCATCACCCCCACGGGGGGGTTCCTCTCACACTCCATATAATTCCATTTCAATTCATTTCATTTCATCTCTACGAGGACAACGCCATATAAATTCCTCTGATTGCTGTAGGCTGTTCCCCCCTCTTTTCTTTCGGAACTCCTGTCATGAGCGTTGACATATCTGTAGCTCCGAGCTCAATTTTCTCCATTCATTCAACCTGAGAGCGATCCCATGAAACTTACGGGTACGAGCCAAGTTCATGAAGTTGAATAATGAATAGGTCGATAGCACGATTTCCCCCACCGATTGTAGGTTTCATTTATCATGCATGATTTTCTTTATGGGAGATTGATGATATGGCGCTTGAAGAGATAATGGATTTGGATTCTGTGGGATCGAATTTCTGCATAATTTATTTATTATCTTTGATTATATTCGATAAAATCTTCATATTCAATTTCCGTTCCTCTTTCTCCTTTTTCGCCGCGACTGTTTACAGTCACCGACGAAAGGGTGGCAATCCACACAGGGTCACTGTTTGCATCATCAGCGTTGAGTCAAACGGTTTACATTGTCTCCGTTTCCTGTGCGACCGGAGTCTTTGTTTGGGAATGATTCAGCGGTGGAAGCTCCGAGTAAATACCCATTATACCCCTCCAGCCTACAGGTATACCCGAGGAAGAAAAGAGACGCAACTCCACGACAGGCCATGATTTCATTTCCCAGGCCGGCAATCATCCAATTGATTCTGTCCGTCAGCACCTGACACTTCCCCTTCAAGACTCGAGAGCAGGGAATGCCCTCGCGATCACGATGTTCTTCCAGTCCGGTTGCCCATTATCTGGAGCCGAGGTCAATGAAATCCGACTACCAGGCTGTACGAACACGATGCGACACGATCAACATTTTATTCCTTTTCTCTCTGTGATGCAACACACTTTAAATCCATTTCATAGACTTAAGAGTTTGAACAGTGGACACTGAGGAAATACGTATTGCTCGAGAGTCAGAAGAAAGAAAGGGAACAACCATGTTCTTGATATGACATGTTGCAAGGGGTCACGGTTATGAAGAAAAGCTGGCAGTGACCACAAAGACAACAGCAATGATTCTCGAATACTAGATTTCCTTAACCGGTTTAATTCCCTGATCCGCAGATCATCTAATAATTAATTTATTCCTCCTTATACGATAAGCTATAACCCGCACGGAATACCATCGCGGTATCCAGTGCCTAAACAACAAATCTTGATCTATTTGCTTTCGAGATCTACGTCCTATTGCAAAGCTCCTATTGCAGGGGTTTCATCCGGCGCCGAATCGCAAGGCAACAGATAATATTCAGTCATTGATAAATATGGCGAGATGATGAAAATCACAGCAGAGTGAGAGACGAGGGGTTACATGACGTCGATGGGCTTCTCTGTCTCCGATTCTCCCACTCCTGCAGGCATGAAATGGGAAGACTGTGGAATGGACTGATTTCCTTCATTTTTTTCACGTCTCCTCCTCGAGGTCGCTATCCGAGTCTCCGAAAATGTCCTGGGAGAAACATAAATCCAGCGACTGTACTTCTGGAGACAACATACTGGAGACGGGGATTTATTAAGTATTCCTCTGCTCCAGCGATTATCGATTTTGGCAAGTTTTCCTCCATTAATTGTGCGATAAGGAACGTGACGTAATATGTGACTCAACAGGAAGAAAGACAAAAATGTCAGCAATTTTTTAAAAGCTAGCTTTTATTGAATTCTTCAGAATTTTGCCTTTTAAATAAAGAGAACAGCTAAAAAAATAATCCTAATTCTATGTGGAGTTATAAAATAGAAGATGATATTCGGATATCCTCAACGCCTCGGAGGAACTTTTTGTTTTCAAGCAGTCTCGATTGCAAAAATTATTAAAATATTGTTTCAAATGAAGCTTTACTTTTTTGCCCCCAATAATTTTTGGGGTAAATCCTACTCATTGCTGAGATTTTGAAATGGAGGCGTGGCGATGGCATTCACAAATGAAAGCCCGAAGAAAAAGACTTATCACAGCGAACGAAGAATCCTCTTGCTGCTTAGCTCTACAGAAAATGATGATAACGACGGGAATGTTCAAGGAAGACCAGAATCCTTTCCCCCTTCTCCCCCCTCCCACCTTCCCTCCCTCCCTCCCTCCCTTCCTCTCCCCTCCCTCCCTCGTCCCGTCTGTGTGGTAATCCAATTGGAGGGATCGTTTGGGACCTGGTTCTCTTTTCAGGCTTAATGTGAGACAGATGACGCTTCATTGCCTCCGGTCCTGTCATATAAGTAATGAAGTATTACCGATTCAGTCTCCATATATGTCGACGCAGGTGGACGATGCAGTACCTACCGGGCACGATCATTTCAAAAGGGGATTCTAACAGGTGAATGATTTTTCGACTCACCAATTCTGCGTGAGTATTGTCTGGTACGTCTGCTTCCGGCTTCTCTTCCTGGGAAACCAGGCTCGTTTTCGTTTCCTCCCTGGCCGAACATACAGTGCCATTCATTTTACCCGACTCGATGATCAATTTAAGCATTCGTTCAGAAACATTCGACGAAAGGAAACTTACAGATGATGGAAGTCGTCGGGTTGACGTGGACCGGGTTCTTCGGTCACCTGCTCCAGTCTCGACGATTTCCTGATTCGAATTCCGTGCCTCTTCAATTTCCTCTCTAACGACCTGATCTGTCGACATGTGCAGCAATGCGACCTACATGCGATTTTTCTTTCACGCATCCGCACGAGAGCCAGGTAGAAACAGTGACCTTGGAGTGCAGGATATGTGCTTCCTCGGCTGTCTGGATCTCCCGTTCCGCCGTGATCCGAACCGTTTCTCTCAGGGCTTCCTCCAACTCTCGGATCCGAATCTCCTTTTCGTTCACGTCGTTCTTGCCTTTGGCAGAGTTCGCCAAGTCGCCGATCGAAGCTCCCTTTTATACGGGTCCAAACGAACCATATCCGAACAAAGGAACCAAGAAATGCAAAACAACGTTGCCGATAGGGATTTCGGAAACAAGGAAAAAAAAAAAACATCCAAAGCAGGCGACGATAACTCAGGGAACGAATGAACTCAAGCATAAGGGGTTATTGATTAGAAAAGGCTCTTCAGGAAGTTCCCAGGGCTTGTAGCCTGAACGCACCAGAACGGGATCAACGAAACGAAACAAAAATCCCAGGGGAGAGAAAAATTTATGAAAAAGTGTTAGCACTGGAATTTCTGTAGGCCTACGTAGATAGCGTCTACATACTAAAATTAGGGTAAGTGCATGTAATAAAGCTAATGCTGACTTATGCAGGCTATGCTAGAGTGTATTCGTTAGTCAAAAAGGAATTCTTTAGTCTTAAAGGAAATTACTTAACAGAATTTACTCTGACGGCTTTCTTTCTTACCTGAGAAGCTCCCGACTGCGCCTTTTTCAAGGCCCTACAGAGAAAATACAAAAAGTCAACATGATGGAAGAAATTACGATCGATCAGGAAGAAAAAAAGAAAGACTGACTCTTGAAGCTGCTTGATTTTGTTGTCCTTGGCGAACTTTTCTTCCTCGGACATTTGCATGAGTTGGAGGAGGCGTTCCATCTCGCTCTGCAGGGTCTTGTTCTCTTGCTGTAGTTTCCCCGAGTCCCCTCCCCCTTGTCGCTCCAATTCCGCCACCTTCTTCTGCAGTTCTGCCACCTTCTGCCCGGCGGCACCACCTTCCTCCTGCATCCGCTGTCCCAGCAAATAAGTAAATAAATTAGGAATCTTTAATGTAACCTTCATTTCGTGGGGCACTCGAGATGTCTCCTGGATGCAAATGCCGTAATTAATTTTGGTATGGTAATCGTGTAATCATGACAACAGAAGAAGCAGAAAAGGAATCCCCAGATGAGGACTTAGTGTACCTTATGGAAAACGGTTTCCATCTCCTCGAGCTCCTTCTTCCTCATCCGGAGTTGAGAGTCCATGTCTCCCAAGTTCTTCTCCCGTTCCTCCACCTGCTTCCTTTTCTTCTCCACTCCCCCTTCGTACTCTCCCATCTTTCTCTTGAATTCCTCTACCTTCTTCTTTTCTTCTTCTACCTTCTTCTTTTCTTCCTCCACCTTCTTCTTCGCTTCCTCCACCTTCTTCTTCACTTCTTCCAACTTCCTCTTCTCCTCGTCCGTCTTCTTCTTCTCCTCGTCCAAGGCTCGTCGGTTGACCTCGCTCGCAGCCTGACCCTGACCTTCTCTTCTGCTTGCTTCTTGCACCTCCAACTGAAACTTACAAAGGGTACGGTTAGCCGATGTTTATTTTGTTGCTGAGACAACTCCGAGAATTGCTATCGGTGAAGCTGACTACGAGCAACAGGCAATGCCAATCACGTTAGAGAGTGTTAGAGAGAAAAGTTTGAACAAAGCTTTGGGGGAAGGGTTCGGTGTACACAGCGATCTCCTTTCAACCTACAAAGCTCGAAAAAGCAGAGAACGTTGAACGGATCACAAGAAGGAATAGATATTTGAGAGGTTTTGGAATGCACCTGTTTTTGCTCGAGTTCCTGAACCAGAAGCTCGAGTTGAGACTGGAGTCTCTGCTTCTCCACGTTGGATGTTTCTGCGTCCTTTTTCGCCTTTTGGAGTTCTCCGCGAATCTTTTGCATCTCGGCGTTCCCGTCCTTGCTCTGCTTATTCAGCTCTCTTTCGTAATTCTGGATTTGGGATTGCATGGCCCCAAGTTCCTTCTGCAAGTCCGTCAAGAGTTTCTCGGATTTGTCGGCTCGGCCCTTCTCGGACTGGAGGCGACTCTGGAGGTTCTGGACCTCCGCACTCGAATTTTGATTGCTTGCAGTCTGCTGGGACCTCAGGCTTTGTAGTTCCTTCTCCAGTTTCTCAGCCCGAGCCCGTTCTTTCTCCTGGGCAGCTTTCGCATTCTGCACTTCCTTGTCCATGGCCAGGAACTGTTGTTGAAGGCGTCCCAGGTCTTGATCTTGTTTCGCCTGTCGACCTAGTTGGTCTGTCCTCAGCTTCTTGTTCTCCTCTTGACACCGTTGCAGTTCGTTATCCATACCTTGCATCTCCTGCTGGAGACCGAGTAAGGCTTCTTGGGATTTCTCCAGCTGAGACACCAATTGCTCCCGCTCCGAATTCATCTGCCGCAGTTCGTTCTCCATCTTGAGCATCTCCTGACTCCCTTGCTTGTCCCGTTTCTCCAGGTGTCCCCGAAGTCTTTTGTTCTCCTCCTTCATCTTTTCCATCTCAACTCGGAACTTCTCCATTTCCTTCTGTCGGCCCTCGTGGTCCTGTCGGAGGGTTTGGAGTTCCATGTGAAGGCGCTCTCTTTCCTGGACCAGGCCCTGGTAATTGGCGTCGCCCTTGTCCAGTTTCTCTCTCATCACCTTCATTTCCATGCTCGTCTCAGCCCGACCTTGTCTCGTTTTCTCCAGTTCCTCCTTCAGCGTCATGGTTTCCTTTTCCTTATCCTTGGTCAATTTCTCCAGGCGTTCCAGTTCCCTCTGGGCCTCTTCTCTGTTCCGTTCTTGCACGATGGACGCCTTCTCAAGTTGAAGCTGATACTGCTCCAGTTCTCCCTTGAGTTTCGCGTTCTCGTACTCCAGTTTCTCTTGTTTCTGCTGGGCCTTGACGAGATCTACCTGGCACTTCTCATATTTGTCCTTCACCTTCTCGTGATCGATGTTCAGCCTCTCTCGCTCTTCCTCGTATTTGCTGGAATATTTTCCCAGCTGGGCCTGATATCGTTCCAGTTCCATCCTAGCCTTGGAGAGTTCGTCGCCGAGACGCTCCATGCTCAGTCGATATTTCCCGGCCTCTTCCTGGCTGTAGTTATATTTGTCCCTGAGACGGTCTATTTCCGCTTGCATTCGTTCCGTTTCCTGCCTCGATCGGTCCTGTTCGCTGAGATATCGATTCTTAATGCCCTCGGCTCGTTCCAATTCTTTCTTTAATCTTGTCATCTCCTGTTCCTGTTTATCTCGCATGAGACCCTGTCGTCCTAGCTCCGTCTCTGACTTCTCCAGTTTATCCTTGAATTTCTCCACCTCGAGTTTCAACCGATCCACCTCTTCCTTGCTCCGTTCTTCCACGTCTTGGATCTTCCCAACTCGGGTCTGAAACCGGTCCAATTCTGCCTGAATCGTCTCGTTTTCGCCGATGAGTTTGTCCCGTTCCATCTGCGTTCGTCGCAGCTCTATCTGCAAGCGGTCGCATTTTTCGTAGACTTTCTCCACTTCCAGCTGAAGCTTGGCCAGGTCTTCGGCGTTCTTCTCTTGGGACGCCTGGGATTTGCCGTATTGTGCAAGGGCTCGATCGAGGTCGAAGGTCAGCTTCTCGACCTCGCTCGATAACCTCTCCTTGTCGCCTATGTATCGACGGAGGTCGGTCTGCGCCTTCTCGTATTTCTCTCTCGTGATTTCAACTTCCAGTTTCAGGGCCTCCATCTCTTCTTTGCTCTTCTCTTCTGTGTCCTTAAATCGGCCGTACTGGGCCGCCGTGCGATCATAGAGCTCCTGGAGTGCCTTATGATCGTCGTGGAGCTTTCGGAGCTCCTCCCTCTGCTTTATCACCACAAGTTTCTCCTTTTCCAGCTCCATCTTAGCATGATCCAAGTCAGCTTCAAGGGACTCCAACTTGCCTTGGGATCGGTACTGCTCTCCCTGAGCTCTGTAACAAAATATAAAAAGGGAATACATTTTTTATATTCAATATTTATTTTGTTCCCTGGAGTGTGGAAGTTTGAACTGACTTGTCGTATTTGTCCAGTATCCGTTCATATTCCTTGTTGGTAGAGTCTCTCTCTTCTTGTGCTTTGAGAAGTTGAGAATGGATCTTTTCGTATTTTTCCTTGGTTGCATCCAGTTCCTTCTGGAGAACATCCTTTTCAGTCGTGAGTTTATTGACCAAAGACTGGGCCTTGTCCAGTCGCTCTTGCACAAGCTCCACTTCCGTTTTGGCAGAATCTCGATCACGGGTCGCTTTGTTTAATTGACCCTGAAGCATCTCCATTCGCTCGATCTGCTTCTCTCGTTCCACTTCCCATCCTTCCTTCTCCTTTAGCATTCGAGTCAGGCTCGCCTGGAAAGAGAATGGTATCTCCTTATCAAGCCCAGGGCTCCCGCATATGGAAAAATTATTCAAGGCCTGCAATGGTCAGTTCATTAAATCTTTTACTGACCTTTCTTAGATAATTTAGAAAGATGCCTACAGATATGCTAGACATCGTTAATGGAGTGTGATATGGGCCTTGGGCCTCATGTCTACGAAAAAGCTGTACAATCTATACCATGTAGAATCCTTAATCGTAGCAAACAGAAAGCCACAATACTTTCTTAATTTTTTTTTTCTGTACAAGTAACTGCGCTTCTTCTCATTCTTAGAAATTCAACTTGGTTTTCAGAGGTGAATAATGATTCTGGCATGAGATGAGACCTGCGCTTTGTCAGCCTTCTCTCGACACCGATCCGCCTCGACAACGGCAGCGTCTTTCTCTTTCTGCAGTCGACTGGTCTGCCCGCTCGTCTTGTCCACTTGGGACTGGAGACCCTCCACCTGTTCTGTCAGCTTCTCTCTTTCTGTTTGAGCCTGAAGAAAAAAGCCGTAATAGGAATACTTACTCTGTATTACTCAAGATCGTCCTCATTAATGGTACTCACCCTTCGGAGATCCACTTGAGCTCGTTCCAATTTCTCTTGCAGTTGATCGGCTTCCGTTTGGGCCCTGTCCAGAAGATTCTGGGTCTTTTCTTGCTGGAGTTGTGCTTTGCCCAATGTGGCTTGTGAAGTTTCCAATTCTTCACGGAGTTTTTCCACTTCGCTCGTCGCTCTCTCCTTCTCCGTCAAGATTCGACTCAACACCGACTAGGAAACCCAGGAGGTTAAAATTGAAATAGAGAAGATTTTGATCGTTTCTGTTAATGCTGGGTAGGTGTTACCTGAGATCGGTCGTATTCCTCCTGGAGGTTATCCTTTTCGGACTGGGCGTTTTCGAGGCGAGCCTTCAATCGGTAGATCTCTCCCTGGCTCTTTTCTACCTTCTCCTGAAGCACTATCACTTCTCCATGGGCACGTTCATATTCCACCTTTTCAAGGATAAAGCAGAATCCTCCTCAGGATAAAGGACTTTGTCAATGACAAGGACAAATGAGACCGGAAGACAAATGAGTATCTCGGGGGATAGTATGCAGGTTCGATCGCAGTTGCAAGAGTCAGGAACTGCTCCACTCTCAGGGTTCATTTACGAAAAAAAATTGCTTCGGCAATATATTGATATTTCATGTTTCGGGAGTCCATATCATATTGACAATTTTAATTTTTACTTCGTTCTCTTCTTTCTTGCTTTGAGTCTAGGCGCATCTCGCAGATATCTGCCAATACCTGCTAATCCTGCATGATTAATGTGCGGACGTCCTCACCTAATGAACATTCCATGCTTTAAATATTATGAAATTACATGTAAGACTACGAATGAGAAATTTGTGTACTACCAATGCGCTTCTCACCGGCACACCATGTAGCACAGCCCACCACACGGGTTTGTGTGCGTCTTAGGTTATCAGCTTTTCAGCCTTGAATAAATGTTCATGCCGTCCAGGAAGATGTGTAGACTTAAAAACGAGTTCAAAGGGAGAGCGATTCGCTCTCCTTGCCGAGTGCTACTGGTTGTTTACATTGGTTTTATCTTTCAATTAGCTTTAGTTCCAGTGAATCAATGTATATTCATATTTACCCATTCCATATTTCTTTTCCTTCATACATTCGAATCACTAATTTTTCTACTGTCGAAAAGCAATGACAGAGGCAGGCACACTACCTGATTCATGCGGAGCTCGGCTTGGGTCCTTCTGAGTTCCGTCTGGCATCTGTCCAGTTTCTCCTGGAGCTCCTGGCTCATGGGCATGGAGATGCCCCTGGGTAATCCGGAACTCATGCCCGAACTCAGTCCGTAACTTCCAACGTTTCCTTGGAGTCTCTCGTTGTCCGTCTTCAATTTTTCGTTCTCCAACTCCAACTTGGTCAATCGGTATCGGGCGGATTCCCATTCGCTCACGTTCTTCCCGACTTCGTTAGACATTTTGTCCAACTCAGCCTTGCACTTTCCCAGTTCCGACTGCGACGTCTCAAGTTTTGCTTCCAGTTTTGCTTTCTCAGCTTGGGCTCGCTCCAGCCGCAACTGAACCTGTATCCAGGATTGAAACGAAAAATTGCATGGGTTTTCTTGGTAACAGGTTTTGCAACCGGTCTTCCTATCAACAAATGAATTGAACCGAAAACGTAGAAGCTGAATCTTTGCTCTTTAGCATTTTCAGTTCAAGTTTTGAGTTCACGGAAGTTTTATGGTTACTTCCAATTTATATTCTGTCTGAGAAGTTGTCCTTGGAAAAAATATTGGAACTGTATTTATTTACCTTCTCCAGCTCGCTTTCCAAGGAGTGAAGTTTCATCTTGTATTCGGCAATATCCCGTTCGTGCAGTTCCCTCTCCTCGGCCTTGTCCTGCTCGGCCCTGTCCCTCTGTTCCCGGAGTTGAGCGATTTGTTTCTCTTTATCCCCGATGGCCTCTTCCAGGGAAGTCAAAGCCCCTTCCGACGTGGAATGACTTGCTTGCATCGCGTTCAACCTGGCTCGAGCCATCTCCACCTGATTGTCTTTCTCCCTCAACAGATCCTCCAAGTTTTCGATCTGTATCCACCCCATGCATTTAGCAGCATGCATTGGATTAGATTTGTTAGTAAGGCCTATCTATCAGATTAGAAATTGTTTAAAACTTTTCGTTAATTTTATGACCTTTCGTTGAAGGACGTTGATCTTGCGATCTTTGATGTCCATCTGATCTCGGATCTCGTTCATTTCTTGACCAAACCTGTTCCTTTCTTGAGCTGCATGCAGGGTTGCCTGAGTTTTCTGCTCGATCAAACGGTTCTTCTCCTCCAGACGAGTCTTCAATTCCTCGACCTGCAAAAGAATGGAATATCTTCACTGAGCTGCATGGAACCGAAGGAAACGCTTGCTATATGTCTGTCTCTCTCACGTCGGCTTGGAGCATGTTGTAATGTTCTTCTTTGGCCATGAGAGATTCTTTGAGCACGGCAATGTGGCGTTGGTAATCCGTGTGCTGCTCCTCTAATGCTTTCATCTTCGCCCCGAAAGCCAGGATTTCTTGGTCCCGTCTGTTCACTTCGCTCTTCATCTCCTCCAACTGGAGAACAATACGTGAAGCCAATGCAAAGGTGCGAGTTGGTCATTCGAATGAGAAATTATCAGAAAGGTTTAATCGCAGAAAGGTCTGTTTAAGATGGATCCAGACCATTTCTAGGCATCGATCAGATAAAAGCAAATAATTTTTCCCGGCTAGTGGCACTGATAATAGGTGGATTCCACTGTGATCCTCGTCGCGAGTTAAGGTTCATGATATGAGTACCCCATAGTATATCCATGAGTCATTTTGCCTACATGCACGACCTCGATTTGGAGTCACAACTCAAACACAGCATAACCCATGCTTTGACTAAAATTTCACCATCATCCACCGCAGATAGAGCGAGGGACGAAAGCAAAACGGCATAGCGTAAGCATGTCATCCTTTACAGTCGAAATAGGCAGGCATGCAATGACTTTTCTGCAAGGAAGATGACCTCAGATGACCCAGATAGCATAGGTGTAACTTGATTTGGCGGGGCAGTCGCCTCTTCGTCAGATTGGAACGTCTTAAATTCGGAGCATAGGTAAAAATAAACTTGAGCCATTACTACTGTTCCTTACAGAACAGTATGCAGAGCCCAAAACACATATCGTGCCAAGCTACACATCTTGAATCATCTAAGGAAAAGTCAATGGAGGAATTGGGTTCAGGCCACAAACTAGATCGAATTTCTTACAGAAACATGCAGCAGTGGTGCAGTGGCCTGACGCTCTAGACTTGAAACACCTCATTCAGGTTTATTACCGCGTCGAAAAAAACTACCCCCCTTCGCGGAAGACAAGCTTCGGTTCATTTCAACGATGCATCACTCTCCATGTGAAATCTGTACCAATCGTTTTCTGATCTCATGCCAGGGCTTGAGCGGGAATACCAGGCCTGAAACGTCAGAGGACCCCTTGGGTCTCCTTGGCTCGGGCGCTCTGCGATATTTCATGAGAGATCATCTCCTTTCCTTTTTAAATTTTATTGATTCATTTTATTGATATATATTTAATGAATTTATTTACATATTACTGGAATACGATTAGATTCAAGCTGCTAACAAACTGACCTTCGAAAAAAGTCGACTTAGCCCTGCCTCTTCCCATTGTTTTTGTTTGTCTTTTCTTGCATGTTTCGCTTGTCAGGGATAGAGTGAGACATGCTTCTTCTGTGACTTCTTAACATTGGGACGTGCTTAGACTAAGACGCTTCTAGTACGCTGTCATATGTCATGCCGCGTTTTGGTTGCAACTAGCTTGTGCAATGCAAGTCTGCCACTGAAAGCATCATGACTGATGAGAGTGATCCGGCTTACAACTGTTGCTCATTGTATTTTCCAAAAGGTTTAACACGTGACGATTTTATTTTGCCTTGGACGTTTTACGCCACAGCTTTTACACCTTTTATAGCTTTTTTGAAGTGTTTGGAACTTTATCGTCTGGGGTATGTCATAAAGGAAAATTTTGAAAAGACATGAAGAGCAGTGGCGGCTCGTGATATTCAGCGCTAGTGGTTCGCACTAGCGATTCAGCACTAGCGCTGAATATCACGAGCCGCCACTGATGAAGAGTAAAAACGAAAAAGTACGAAGAGGAAGGAAATAAAGTGACATCATAAAACTGATGTGCGACGTGCTCAATATAAACGCCTTTAGGTCCCATATAGTCTTGGCCCGTTATGAAGACTCGATATGAGGTTCCATCTTCAGTCTATATGTTTGATTACGTGAGGAATCTGGGTTATTGAGGATCTACGTCGTCCAGTAGATGGTACACAAACGAAGCCATCTCGGGAGAACTAAAAAGCCCTCTTCGGGACGATGCGAGTAGAGGGGGGAAAAAACAACTCTCATGGACACGTATCCGATGGACAAACGAGGGGACAGATGGGTTCCTTATCGAAGCCTCTTAGGATCTCATTCTTCTTATATTGCCTTCGTTGTAACGTTGTCAATAAAAGGTTGTTTCGAAGAAGTGCCGGTGATACTGGAAAGGATTGTCCTGTCGATGGCCTTGTATCCGGATCTTATTGTAGCAAACCATGCATTCTAAGATCCGCATGCAGAACATAAATCTGGAGATTCTGCCGGACTCATGACAAGCTCATTTATTTTGGCGCGAAAAGTGCCCTATCGCCTCGAATTTGACACCCGGAATTTCCGAAGGAAAGCATGGCATTCTTCCTGAGATTTTCACACGGGTCAGCGATTTCCCGAGAATCCTTCGGGAAGTTCCCGAACTTCCCAGAAGAGTTCCTCGGAAAGTCCACGCGCCAAACTCTGCCTTGGAAAGCGAGGAAGAAGATCGTCTTCTTGGAGACTCTTCCACTCACATCGTATTTCCACTGCCTTTCCCTGGACCTGAAGCTCGAGCCGGGTTCGGAATAAGTGAAACTGCGCGTGAGATCGGACGCAGCGAGCGAGGAGTCGGAGCCGAATATCTGCCGTTCCAGGGCACACAGATCCCGTTCGATGGCCGTCACACGTGACACGCACGTGGCCTCACGCTGTCGGTCCAGAGCCGACAGGCTCCGGCTCAGGCACGCCCTCTCCTTTAATTTCACGCCATACATTCTCACATACATACAAATTCAAATCAAACTATAAAAAATAAAAAAGGGAACCTATACTCACAATCTCGGGTGATGTCTGTTCTTGAGGCGTTTTCGGAATGCCTAATAATAGCAACAAAAGAAGGAACCCGAACGGTTGGAAATCAACGGGTAATCGAAAAGAAAACGAAGGCATGCAGACAACCTAGGGGACCCACAAAATCCTCTCAGCATGCAAAACTTTAAACGTACCTGTCGCTGGTACATGTGCTGCATCTGGGAGATGGCCTGCTTCTCCTCCTCTTTGCCTGCGAAATTAGACGTTAGTACGGGTCGTTAGTGGAAAGGAGCGGGGAGGAAATTCTGTTAGTGCCGTTAGAAGCCCATTTCTTTTGCCCGTAATGGGCAATCATGCTCAGCCTTTCATGAAGCCTTTCATGTAACTCACTGATGCCTTTGTTCTGAAGCATCTCGAGAAGTTTCTTGATGCTCTCGTCGCGAGCTTGAAGGGTTTGCTTCTGGCTCTCGATCCTCATTTCCAGCTCCTATTTAAAAAAAAAGTAGCACTCGAGTTGTGATACATTCTCCCCACAAAATGGGATGATTGTGGGTAAACGCTCACCCGAACGGTTTCCCTGAGGATGGCGATTTCGCGCGTCAGGTGATCATTTTCCGCGAACACTCGCTCGACCTCGTGTTGTATCTCGAGAGATGGTCCCCGCACGTTGCGGATTCGCAACTCATCCTCCAGCTGACGCACCAACATTGCTTGCTTCTGCAGTGCCCAAAAGATTAAAGAAAAAAAAAACAGGAACGCTGCTGAAAAGGTTCTAAACCAGATGTCCGTGATACCGTATCATTTTCACCCTCAAAATACAGTGACCACAAATTTATTTATGGATTTTGTTCTTCCCATTAAATAAAAAATTATAAAAGTTAAATTGATGCCATGGGCAGGTATTGTCAGATGGACTAATATGTTGCATGTCTGTGGCTTCAAGATCAATGGAAAACGTCAACCTGTATGCCTTTATTTTAAACTAGCTATTGTCGCGCCTTCGGCGCTCCATTACCAGGATAGTGATTCATTCCATAATTTATTTTCAAAGTGGCAAAAACCTATTAAAAGTATGTGCTCATCGGATTGTGTATCGAGAGAGAACAAACCGATATTTTCATTGGAATAATTACTCACATTGTTTCTTGTGTGCCTAACTTCAAATCTCTTCATAATCTGCCCTGATGGGTCATATTTGAAAAGTAGGACATGTACTCAGTAATCGAACAGGTACT